TCTCTCTCCATCCCTCTCTCCCTCTCTCCTTCTCTCCCTCTCCCTCCTTCTCTCTCCTTCTCTCTCCATCCCTCTCTCCTTCTCTCTCTCTCTCTCTCCCTCTCCCTCTCTCTCTCTCCCTCTCCCTCTCTCTCTCTCCCTCTCTCTCTCTTTCTCTGTCCCTCCCCACTACCTTTGATCCATCTGTCCTTCTGCCTGTGTCTATCTATCTCTAACTCCAGATCTCTACCCTGTCTGTGGCCCTGGGTCAGGCCTTCTTCAGGAATGTGACCAGTCCTTTCATGATCCACAGACAGCTGGGTTTCCAAACCTCTCACTTTCCTAGCCACGCCCTCTGGACACACTCCAGTTCACTGGCCTCTTCTTAGGCTCCTGACCACTGCTGGAGAAAGTCTCCAAACCACAAGGCCTGGACCGATGCCCCATTCCCAGAAACTCATCGCCAGGGCCCTCAGTGCACACTCTGCTAGGCCAGGCTCTCAATCTCAGCCCACACCGCAGCCATTCCAAACCCTGTCCCCAGCACCCCCATCTCTCTCCACAGATACCCTAACCTCACTTCACTGAGGACATTGAGGAGTGGGGACTTTGCCTCACAGCCAGGAAGCCAGCAAGGTGACACCAAGTGAGAGTGCCCTATGTCGGGGGTGGGGCTGGGGCTACCAAGGCCACTCACACCCTGCTGTTCGGGGCATCGTTTAGGATTGCACAGGAAAGGGGCTGACATGTCCCATTAGTCTCCCCTGATTTACCAAACCGGGCACTTGCCCCAGTCAGCTCAAAGACAGGAAAAAAAAAGGGAGCGAATATACATGAAAATACTCACGGTGGAATTCTGTCACAGCCAAGAATGGGAAACAGAGCGGTGCCCACTGCTTGGCGAATCGCCAAACCAAATCATCCCCAAGAAGTCATTAAGCACCTACTGTATGCCAGGCCCGGCTAAGCACCAGGCAGGCCAGAGTGAAGACCATAACAACCCCTCCCCCAGAGGGTGGGGGATGGGCTCGGAGATGTCTGCTTACCTGGTAAAATTCGCGAAGCCAGCTCTTCTGTAAGTTCTCTGGCTAGAAAGCAAAAAGAAAGAAGCAGTCAGACCCAAGCAGCCTCTTACCAGAAAGCAGGATGAACACGGGCGATGGGGTCTACGGGATGGGGGCAGACGCTAGGGGACGGAAGACAGAGAGCTCCCAGAACCCGCCTCCCACGGACCCACAGGGCCCCACCTCCACCCTGATAAGGGACCCGCCACTCAGGAAGACAGGAAGGTGTGTCCCGCCTGCTCCCCATCGACCCCCTAGGCCACGAGTCCCCAGACAAGGGCTTGGAGGCCTCCCCAGCTCCAACACACGGTTCTTCTCAGGCTCTCCCACGATCCATGACCTGACCAGAGGGCTTTATGTTAGAAAGCCACGTGGCCAAGAACTGATGCTATACCTCCGCTTTTGTCCCCCAACTTGGGATGGCCGCTGGCACCGTGGACAGAAGTGGGGCGGGATAACGAAGGAACAAGGAGGCGCAGAACATGGCGGTACAGGATGAGGAGAGGACAAAGAGGCCCAGGATAGGGAGGGCAGGCCCTCGTCAGCATGGATGGAAAACACCTCCTCTCCCCTTCGGCCTCCTTAGTGGGAGCCTCTGCTCTCCGGTGAGCCCAGCAGAGTGATGGGAGCTGACCGGACCTCTTGGGGCGGCTCACCGCATCCACAGTGTTACCGGGCAGCCACCACAGCTAATGCAAACTGGGGCTGAGGCGGCAGGATTGCAATACTCTGCACGCGCATCTCCTGGCCACCGACCTGACAAGACGTCCAGAGGACCGCAGCCACGATCAGGCAAAGGATAGGGTCACAGACTAGAGAACATGCAAGCGCTGCCTTTGAGGAGGTCGAGAAGGTCCGTCAAGAGAAGGAAGGTTCAGATTTCTCTGACTTGGCCCCAGACCCAGGACATGCCATGGGGGGAAGGGTTTGGGGTTGAAGAGGGAAACTGAGGCTGGATACAGAAGTGCCCAACAATTAGCTGCTCCAAAGTGGCCTGGCCTGCCTCTAGGGTTACAGCTAAGCACTGGCTGGGGACAGGGCATCTTCCTGAGTTCCAGGGGAGACACAGAGCCCAGAAAACACAGTCCTCCAGGCCTGACTTCCTGCTGTTCCTCAACTGCAAATCCCATCTCCATGCCTTTGCACAAGCTGTGTCCCCTGCCTCTTGGACTCAAAGCTCAGCTCAGGTGCCACCTACAGCAGACCTTTCCTGATGCCAATCACCTCAGATCTCACACCCCTCCATAGCCACACATTATAGACTCTGATAGAGTGTAAGAGCCTTGAGGGCAGAGGCTGCTTCATGCCTGTCTTCTCAACCCCAGGGCCAGACACAAGACCTTGGCCCACAAAAGCCCTGAAGAAAAGCACGGTGACTGGCCCACTGATTCCTGCGGATTACATGAGCCAGTAGGGGTGATGAGACAGCAGCCAGAGAATAACAAAGTCCCCCGCTTCCAGGGCACTGTGAGGACCCGTGAGGGATCTGACAGAGGAAGAGGCTGGGACTCAGTTTTGGTAAAGCGACCTGCCCCGCTAGGAAGTATCCCAGGCTGGGTGTGAACTCATTCTGACCATAGACCCGTGCTCGGTGCTCTCTGGTGCCTCCTGGTGGCCTCATACAGACCTGAGCCCAGCGCTCTACGCCCTCTGGCGCCCCCTAGCCACCACATACAGTAGGTACTTAGGTACCGCAGGCCCTACTCTCGGTCCACTGGACTACCCGGCCTCGATTGGGCCACCGGGACATTCATAACTAGAGTAGGCAGAAGAACACGAGCAGTAGTTTAAAAAGGGCCTGTTCTTCTCTGCCAGGTGTTAGGAGATGGGGGCCAGCTTTGGGAAGGCTGGGGCAGGAGCTGGGCAGAAACTGATTAAACAACCCCAGGAAGAAGCAGCCTTCTGGGCCCTGCAGAGGCAGCCACAGCCACCACCAAGACTCAGGACGAGAGGATGCTCTAGGTGCAAGGGCTGGCTTCAGCCACCTCCGGGCCTTCACTCCCTCTGCCAGCCATCCACGGATGGGCACACAGCTGCCACTGAGGGACCACCGAGACCTTAGGGTCGGGATGGATCCCCAGGCAGGAAGATGTCAGAACCAATCAGTATGGACTGGGCAGAGCAGCTCCGGAGAGCCTGGCACCAGTGGGGACCATTTAGAACCAGTTCAACTGGTCTGAGTCAGTGGGAACCAGAAAGCGCTGCTGTGGGCGAGTTGAAACCTGTTGAAAACCACTTTGACAAGGTTCTCAGTTCTCATCTACCCAACTGGGCGTGCTGGGCAGCAATCCCCTTGCCTTCAACTACCAGAGCTAAGGAAAGTGTAGGGGATAGAAGGGGGGGAGGGAAGGGCCACTGCTGCTCTGCCCCCCACTATTCCTCGGGTCCTCCCAGCACTCACATCAAGATTATCTTGCCCACCCAGGGCAACAGTCATGGCATGGCAGCCCCATAGCCCTGGGAAGGACAAATGACAAAACCAAGGTCCCACCACACAAAGTGCCCTGCCCACAGCACCCTGACAGGTGGTTGGCGGAGCCAAACCCAGAGCCCTTCAGCCCTTGACATCAAGAGAAAGGAGAACCCTCAATCCACCGGTCATGAGAACTTTGGGATGAAGGACACTGCCCCTGACATGGGAGGGGAAGGGGAGCTGGGAAAGCGTTCCCTCTCTTTGCCACCAGGACCCATCCCTCTCATGGCCCTATCCTCCAGGAGACCATGGCCTGGGCCCTGGGGGTGAAGGGAGCCCTTCTCCCCATCTGGGACTGGCAGGGCTGCCTGCTCTCAGCACAAAACACACTAAACTTCAGGAGTTAAACGTTAATCAAAAGCTAAAAATAGTCGTTAGAGCTGCCAACTCAAAATATTCAGGTCCGGGGAGGTAAATGGGAAGAGGGAGTCAGTCAGCCCCAAAGCCTGACTTTCTTGGAATTGGCGAATGATGACAACCTGAGGGGTGGGGGGGGAGGAAGGAAGGGATCTGGGAGGCCACAAGGAGACCGCAAAGAGTCCATGGAGAGGGGGGACAGCAAGCCAGGCAGCTCTAGCAACTTATTGGGAAGCAGTCACACAGGGTCACTGGGGACAACCAGGCTTTCATGATACCTCCCAGAGGCACAGGACCTGTTGGTTTTTGTTTTTTTTAAATTATTGCTAACTTTTGCATTTACATGACTTCATTTCCTTACACCCCACCCACCTTTCCCCATTGGGGTCATCCCTGGTAGCAAGGAACCCAAAAGAAAAATAAAGGAACAAAGAGCAGTAGAGATTAATTTGCCCACCCCTGAACCACCTCCCACTGCACTGCACCTCCCCCCCTGCCCCAGGGGAGGGAGGTGCTTAAAAAGGTGTTCTTAAGAAAAGGCCCAGAAAAAGTAAAAATTAAAAAAAAAAAAAAAAAAGAAAAAAGAAAAGGCCCAGGACTTTGGGTACCAGTGAAGAAGGAACCCTCTGAGGCCCTCCCAAATTCCCCTCCAAACACTTAGCAAACCACCTGAGGACTGGTCTAGGAGCAGGGAAGCATCTGACTAGCTCCAGAAAAGGTCTGTCTCACTGGGGTGAGAGGGGAACGGGGTCCTACAGCAGAAGAAGCAGCCAGCCTCCCAGCAGCAAGGCTCCTGGCCTGCAGCAATCTATCACTGATGCCCCGCACTCCTGCAAACCAGCAGCTCCCTAGGCAAGTGAGCAGTCTGTGCAGCTCAACAGGGCCCCACCCCAGTGACCCCACCCCCAGCACAAGCCACCAGCCAGGCCTTGACCCCACTGCTGACCGGTACTGAAGCCCTGCCCTGGGGCTGGCCAAGAAGCAACACCCTGCCCCTAGGGCCTACCAGCAGAGAGACCCTGTTTCCATGGCAACCCAGCAGCAGGGCCGCACCCCTAGAGCAGGCCAGCTGCTAAACCCCACACCAGGGGAGGCCCCATCCCCCTAGTACAAGCCAGATGGGAAGCCTCCCATCCAGAGAAAGCAAGCAGCTAAGCCCTGAAGCCCAGTGAAAGCTAGCAGTGAGATCCTGAGCCCCAGCACAAAAAGCCTGGGACAGTGCAGGACCAGAGCCCAACTCTCACATAAAAACGAGTCACAAAAAAGCAGGTAAAATGTGCAAAAAAAGAAAAAAAAGAGCTTGACTATAGAAAGTTACTGTGGTGATAGAGAGGATCAAGGCATAAACTTAGAAAAGGACAATAGTGTAAAATAGCTACATGTGAAGCCTCAAAGAAAAATGTAATTTGGTCTCAGGCCCAAAAAGAATTCCTCAACGAGCTTAAAAAGGATTTTAAAAAGCAAATTGGAGAAGTAGAAGAAAAATTGGAAAAGGAAATAAGAGTAATGCAAGAGAATCATGACAAAAAAAAAAATCAATAGCATGGGGAAAAGATGTATAATAATTTACTGAGGAAAAAAAAACTCCCTAAAAATAGAATAGGCCAAATGGCAAAGGAAGTACAAAAGTTCACTGAAGAAAATAATTCCTTAAAAATTAGAATTGAACACATGGAAACTAATGACTCTATGAGACATCAAGATATGAAAAACAAAATAAAAAAGTAAAAAAATAGAAGAAAATGTGATATTTCTTATTGGAAAAACAACTAACCTGGGAAATAGATCCAGGAGAGATAATATAAGAATAATTGGACTATCTGAAAGCCATGATCAAAAAAAAAAAAAAGCCTAGACAACATCTTTTTTTTTTTCTTTTTTTGCTAGGCAATGGGGTTAGCTGACTTGCCCAGGTTGACATAGTAAGTGTCAAGTGCCTGAGGCCAGATTTGAACTCGGGTCCTCCTGACTCCAGAGTCGATGCTCTATCCACTGCCACCTAGCTGCCCCCCTGCACGTGGCTGCCCCCCTGCACGTCTTTCAAGAAATTAGCAAAGAAAACTGCCCTGATGTATTAGAAGCAGAGGGCAAATTAGAAATTCAAAGAATCCACTGATCACCACCTAGAAGAAATCCCAAAACGAAAACTCCCAGGAACATCATAGCCAAATCCAGAGATCACAGATCAAGGAGA